CATACGAAAAACATTTAGAAAATCATATTTATATAAAACATCAAACTGCACATATACATTAAAATGCATAGCGTATAAAATTGTAAATATCTTTTTTAATCTGATGAAAATTTACAGACCGCAGTAAGATTTATATTATATAAAAAAATCGTACAAATTTATTTAAAACAATGGCGATGATCTTTATATGAAAATTTGTTTTTTTTTTCAAAAATTGATTTTATACCATTACTTGTTCCCCTTTTACTTGTTTCCCTTTTTTTTCCTATAATAATTTTTGTTGAAATGTTATCCTGCATCTTTCATGCATATTTTTCAACATATTTGTCGAAGGAAATTAAAATGACATAACATCCTGTATACATGTTATTAGATGTTGAGACATTTGTTTAAAGTTCAATACATAAGTAATTTGATTATTTCTAGATTTCTGACAAAAAGGAAGTTGAGAATATCTCTATTGAGATGCCTTCAGGAAAGGAACAGACGGTATCTTCACCAGTTTTACCTTCCTACAGCAAGAGCTTTTCTAAAACACGAATTGAGTTGACTACGTGTAATTATACATGGAAAATTGATCAATTTAAGCGTTACTTTGCGATCGTCAATACATTATATTCTCCTCCGTTTCCAGAAAAAGGTCGATATATGATTCAAATAAATATTTTACGTAAAGCTGACGAGCGATTGAATACAATACAATTTTATATACGCACTGATACAGCATTTATTGGCTCATGTACCACTACTGTAATGTCTTGTAGTCTGTCTGAAACAGTTTTATCAACAAAATCGATTTCGAGTCGTATATCAGACATGACGTTATTAATTGAAATCCCAAGTTATAAATTTAATTATCATAATACATTAAAAGTACATTGCAAGTTTGAAATTTTTCAACCAATAAGCAGCACTATACATATGAATTTACCAACTAGCACAGAAGACTTAACTCCTGGCAAGTTTCAGTCTAAGAATGAGGAAACAATTAAATTTATTATAGGAAACGAACAATATGTTGCATCAAAAAAATTATTGTGCGCTACCAATAGTAGCTACTTTACGAATCTCTGTCTTACACTTAACGGAAAAGAAAAGGATATGGCGAATGAATTAATAACGCATGATGAAATACAAAATTTTAAGATTTTATTATTTATTATAAATGGCTCAAAATCAATAGAATCATATGATTATTACGCGCTTAAAAAATTACTTGCGGCATCTAATAAGTATGATGTATCTAGTTTAAAATTAACATGTGAACGTTATTTGCTACGCTGTATTACGATTAAAAATGCCGTGGAACTTTTGCAACTTGCGTTTTCGTCTAATGCAAAATTTTTAGAAACACATTCGGCAACTTTCATTAAGTTTCATTTAACTGAAATCGTGAATACTAAAGAATTTCGAAATCTACCGCAAAAAGATTCAAATAAGATAATGGAATTTATTGAGAAAAGTGAAATACGTAAAACCAAAACTCCACAGTTTTTTTCAACATCGGCCTAACAAATATTAATTTTATATCGGCTAATATTTGGTTCACATAATATTACAGTCTTGGGTATAAATTAAGAGAAGATAACAAAAGTATTTATTTAATTATGAAAACATGTTTTTTTTTCTTTCTACAAATGTATTACAATTTTGAAATTTTTATATGGAAGAATTTTTAATTTTTATATAAATAATTTTTTATTTTTGTGTAAGAATTTTTATATGCAAATAAGTATTAATAGTACAAAAATACAAATTAAAAGTACAATTTATTTATTATTAATTTGAGCTTCTATGAATGAAACTTATTAATTATATTTAACAATTTTAGATATAATTTTCTCAAAGTTTACAAGATGATCGAAAATGAATGAAAGTAAAAAAAGTATCTTTACAAACTAATATAAAAATGTTTTATTTATTTTTATTAGTAGTATATCGAACGAAAAAATTGCAGTTGTTCTTTAGATCATCTTGTGAACACACAATGTCAGGATTTTTAGCAACTGTCTTATTTTACGAGAGATCGAAATGTTTTGATGAATTAAAAATTGATTTTTGTTTTTCTAATGTCTATCGCATTTAGTTGTTTTTCTATAATAGTTGTGCTTAATTTGTACGCCAATAAAATGCATTGAAGTAAAACCGAATTTATAATTATATTTTAATTTATGTAGATAAAAAAATGTGAATACAATTATATTTTTTTATTTATTTTTCTACCAGTTTCTTTATTATTCTGATTTATACATCTACATGTATAATCCATATTAATCATCACTAAACACTTCAAAAGTTCTTTTTTTATTGAATCTTGTTTATAAGAAATGTAGCAGGAAAAAATGCATTCTATAAAAGAGTCAGAAGTGCGGACGCAGGCCTGTCGAAAAGGAAGTCAAAGGGATGCTAAAAAATTAACCGTGCTCATATCGGCGTTGCGCACACTTTGACGCACATAAAGATGGCTTGTCTTTGTGTGAAGTATGAACTGTGTGAGCCATGGCACACAAAAAAAACTTAAGCAAATCGACCAATCACAATCGAGAATGAAGGCTATAGGTAAAACGTAAGCAGTAGCAAATCCAACATTTTAATTTTTTTATTACCTACGTCCTACTGCTTAAGTTCTTTTGTGTGCTATGGTCCTGAATCCTGAATATTCCTTCCACTTCCTTTTTGATGGGGTCGCATGACACGTGATCGCGTGGTTGCATTCTTTTTCGTAAAGACCATGGTGGAAAGAAACAAGGTGAACCATTCCGGTGGATGCGCAATCGTTCAAAAGTAGTGGGGAGCAATAAACTGGCAATGAACCTTTTCCCCAAGATGTAGTGAGGAACAACTGATTGGCCGAAATTTTAAGCCATACCACCTCCATACTGCCTTTATGCGCAATGTTTCACCTTGTTTCTTTCCACGGTAGAGACCGTGAGGGATGTGAGGAATGAGGATTCGACCGCGAACCACAGGCTGAGTTGGACGTCCGTGGCCGAGGGATTCTGAAATCTTCTAGAATTTTCGCGGTATAGTATAGTATCTCACTACGATTTAAAATCTCATCGTGCCGTTTGAAATTGGGCCGTATCATATCCGTCTGGGTGTAGGTCTTATAAAGAAAAGAAGAAGTGAGGGGTGTGAGGTGTGAGCATCCTCATTTCTTGCATCAGTAATCAGTTACTTCGCAATTCGCTGAATTCGCAATATTCGCATTGTCTGCCATTGTTGGAGGACATCGTTGTATTCACATATAGGTAATATATTATTTCATAAATAACAGCTAGTTAACAAAGGATGTACGTATTCCATTGGTTTCCATGCAATATTTGTATTCTGTACACGCATTAGTCTAATATTATCATTATCTCGACAGAGTGTGGAATATCAGCGCAGCTCTTCAAAAGAATTTGAAATTTTTCTCAAGATACTAACAAAAAACGAAACATATATAATGGAAGGGAAAGAAGTAAGTTCTTAATATCTTTTCTCAATTTTGTGAATATACGTTATTAGAACGTTAGAAAGTACATGGGATTTTGTATAAACGAATCAATGCATTTGTGCCAATTCGATATATTTTGAGGCATATATAACGAAGAAAATTCATACATACATCCAGGTGTATCAAATTTAATTTTTACTAGCATATGTAATTTGAATGCAATTAAAAATTATTACTGTAAAATGTCTACTGCATCTTATTCACTATTTGTCAGAATTCAAGATATATAACTTTGTTTAATATATCGTATAATATCAAAGCATTTGAAGAATTTCACTTAATATAAAATATGTATTAAGATACATCAAAATGTACAATATATAAAATTATAAATAAATTCAATATATTTTACTAAAAAAGATGTAGAGATTTTTCGGACAATTAGATCTTTATTATTTTCATTATTCGTAAGTAAGTTGCTTATTTCCAGATTTCTGACAAAAGACAAGTTGAGAATATTTTTGCTGACAATGAGATGTCTTCAGAAAAGAAGCAGGCATCATCATTCTTATCTTCGTATACCAAGAGCTATTCTAGCACACAGATAGAATCAATTACATTTGAGCATTCATGGAAAATCGATAAATTTAGGCTAGTTTTTCAAGCTACAAATATATTACGTTCTCCACGATTTCCAGAAAACGGTGAAAACATGATTCAAGCGAATGCTATACTAGAAAGCGAATGCTATGCTAAATCTAAATTTGTAAAGGCGATCCAACTTTACATACGTACTAATACAGCATTTATCGGTTCATGTACTACTACTGTAAAAAATGTCAATTATAATAGCGATTTATCAAAATCGATTTCGGGTCATATGAAGGATATGACATTATTAATAGAAATTTCGAACCTTAACTATAACGAGTTCATCACAGCGTTAGAAATACACTGCAAGTTTGAAATTTGTCAAAGAGTAATAAGTAAATCTATGCATATGAATTTGCTACCATTCTCAACAATATATTCAAAAGATGTAAAATCTGAAGACTCAACACTTAACCAGTTTGAACCTGAGAATAAGAACCCAATCAAATTTATAATAAGTGGAGAACAATTTGTTATACCAAAAACAATGTTGTATGCTACCAACAGTAACTACTTTAAGAATATCTGTCTTACATACAAAGAAGACGAAATAGAATTGACAAATGAATTAATGAGAAATAATGAGGTACAAGCTTTTAAATACCTTTTGTTATTTATTTTAACTGGTTCAATAAAAGAAATACAAGTTAATTATGACATGCTTAAAAAATTGTTAACAATAGCCAATAAGTATGATGTATCAGCTTTAAAAGTAATGTGTGAACATTATTTGCTACATTGTATTACGATTAGAAATGCTGTGGAACTTATACGATTTGCGTTTTCGTCTAATGCAAAATTTTTAGAAACACATTCGGCAGCTTTTATTAAGTTTCATTTAACAGAAATCACGAATACTAAAGAATTTCGAAATCTATCGCAAAAAGATTCAAGTAAGATAATGGAATTGAGTGAGAAAAGTGAAATACATAAAACCAAAGCTCCAAATGTTTTTTCGATACAGGTCTGTGAGAAATCACATACCTCCACAAAACGTCCTAAAACACATATCTAAAAAAAAGTCTCTAGGACGTAAAGGACGTCTTTTGGATGTTGTGCTGTTTGGGATATTAATTTTACATCGGCTCTTTTTTTATATAATGCAGTCTTGGATAAATTTACAGAACTGAGAAAAATATTTTTCTCTAATTAACAAAATGTTCTTTTTTTTTTAAATATATTACGATTTCGAAATTTTTATGTATTTTTTATGTAAATAAGTATTAATACAAATTAAAAGTACAATTTACGATTTGAGCTTCTGAATAAAACATTAATTATATTTAACAATTTTAGATATAATCGGAAGAGCACACGTCTGAAC